CTATTTTGACCTGGGTATTGGGATGAGACAATTTTGCCCACTCTCCCCCTTAATCTTTATTCTATCATTGGTACCACTTCTATGTACCATCCACGGGAATAAAAATGTGCAAGGTTTGTGTATCAATTCTACTGACAATAAGATGACAGGCTTCATGGATGATCTTTTTTTATCTCCCATGTCCTGGAATGTCCCTCCCAAATTTACAGAGAGAATTGGAGGATTATGTTAATTTGTCTAACTACAAGTTAAACATATCTAAGTTGGAAGCATTAAATATTAATATCCCTTTAAAACCGCTCCAGAACTTGTAACAGTTTCCCTTTTCACTGGGCTTCATATTTTATTAAATACCTGGGAGTCAAAATTGCTCACTCACTAGAAGGGACTTTTCTTTAAACTTCCTTTTTTCCTTCCATCGATTAGGAAAAAACAGAAAAGAAGGACAGACACATCTTTTCCTGGTTTGGGAGAAACAGAATCCTAAAAATGAATATCATTCTGTACCTCCTCTATTTATTACAGAGCCTCCCAATCAAAATCCCAGACTCCTTCCTCAAATTAGACATTCAGAGTTTTGACATTTCTTGTGGGCTAATAAACAGCACAGGGTGAATGCTAGTAAACTTGTCAAACATAAAAGAAATTTAGAAAGACTTGGCTTTATTGTGTGGACTTCACTCTTTCTCAGGAATATGGAAAGGCCATGGCTGAGGGTTGATCTTTACATGTGTAATCACACTTTTTTGTGTGATAGCCATGCTCCTGCCTTACTGGGACCCCCCCCCCCCCACCTTCCTTCCAGTCACACTCTCTGTTCTCAAGCTTCCCTTCCCCCCTTGTATACACTCCTTTTATTTTTATTTGTCCCCACTTTATATCCCTTGTGCCCCTATTATTTAGGAATACATGGCTGTCCTCACCGATCCGGTCCTTCACCAGTTTTCGGGTCCCTGGCTCTGACATATTAACTGAGGGCACCCGGCTATGACTCTTTGCGGCTATTACTTCTCATGTTCTTCTATCAGTTGTTGTCCAAGGAATGTTTTCCTAAATCTACTTTCTCTGGCTTCCCGTATAACTCCTGACCTTCTATGTGCTGGACACATACAGGAGCTCGCAGCCATTTGGGGAGAGTAGCTCCTGGTTGTTTTCTTGTTAATTGCATGTTTTCCTTGTTCTATGATGTTAAACATTTTTGGAACATGGAAGGGGGTTAATGGTACTTTTAATGTATATAAGGTTTTTCTGCTATGTTAATGTCTCCTTACGATCTTTAAACGGTTGTGTTATTTTAAGTCTAAATCTGGGTATAAATGAACAAAAAGCCTTTCGTTTCAGCAAGGACTTACCAACTTTCGGCATATGTGTACCTCTATCTGTTCAACAGAAGCTGGTCTAACAACCAGCTCCTGCTGAATGTTCCAACTGGAAAACTAGAATTTTATCAGCACTTGCAGGAAATGGCTGTAGGCTGATTTGTGTATTCTGGTGGGGGGACGTCCCTGTGATCCTGCTGTCAGCTGATGCCAAAAACGCATTCAACAGAATGGACTACAAAAACTGTAGCTGCTGACTTTTAATAAACAGCCACTCACCTGTCCATGGATCTATGACTGTCCTCACCCAGTCTGGTCCTTCACTGGTTTTCGGGTCCCCAGCTCTGACATTTTAACTGTGGGCAGCTGGCTATGACTCCTTGTGGCTTCAAAGCAGGCTGCTCACTGTGCATGTGTGAGCTACTCTGCACTTTGTGAAAGGTCCCTCAGCCTTCTGGGGCCTGTGATGTCTGAGGGCAGGGATAGGGGAAAGAGAATTTCTGCTAAGATTGCCTAGGTGATCAGAGAGGATGTGGGAGCAGGTACCTGTTAAAACTCCCACCCAAAAAAATTATGTTTCAAATATAGCAGAGGGGGGATGAGCAGGAACAGTAGAACTTCCCCTTTTGAGTGAAGTTCTGCTTTAAGGTTTGCATGGATTGAAACAAGCTTTTCTATTCTTTCACAGGTCAATTTGTTTCTTGATTTGGTACAAATATTATCAAATATAGACCAAATTTTTTCACATGCAGTAGAAAATGCAGAAATCTGCAGTAAACGAGATGCAAGAGGTGTTAGAGGTTGTGTTGTGCAGAGACCTTGCCACCATGTTGCAGAAGGGATATGTTTTGCAGAATCTCAGACTGCATTCCAAGACAGATATATTATTTATCATTGTAAAAGAACATATTTCACACTTTTTTTCAGTTTCTTTTTCCAGGGCTTCCCATCTCTAGATCTAGCCAATCACAGTGATCGCACTTGTAAACAAAGGCTGTATAATGTGGCTTTTGACCCATTTCATCTCACAGCACTCACCCTTTGTTCAGCCTATTGCTCTTCTTAGCCAGTGAACATGACATTCCTATGGGCAGTCACATACCAGTAGGATAGGCTTTCTTGGCTCTTAGGAATGGGGCAGTTACAGGTGATGCTGCACTAAGCTATATTTTCTGACCACTTGTACAGAGGAAACTATTACAGTACAATGTTTTTGATACAATTGGTTGATTTTTGTGATGCACAACATGCAATGTTCAGTAAATAACCCTTCCAAACATTGAAACAGTCTCACACATGTATTATCCTCATACTCTAAGTATTCCTATGCTGTGTATGAAAAATATCTTAATAAACTGACACCTTTTTCATTTTCTTTTCACATTTTTCAAAAATTGGTGGCAATAAATTAAGTTTTCAAAAGACTCAGCATGCCACTTAAAAATACCTTGGTCATTTTGTGGGTTTTTCTAATGTCTTGGTACAGCAGGGCCTCACAAAATGTGATAGGTAGTCAGGTAGTTAGATGCGTACGTTATGCCACTAGAAAGCCTGAAGGTGATCTTACATTTTGGGCCTCTCCATGTGGTTAGGCTGTAAAAAAAGTCTCACACATGTGGCATGGCCCTTTAAGGGCAATCAAGTGGCAAAGCTTTCCACAGCCTTAGCTTGTATTTTTTTAACTCCTACTTTGAAGAACCTCATTTCAAACAAATGTTAAAATCTTTATTCCAGCAAATGAAACTGATGTCCTCTTATTCTTGGTATAGTCCTTGGTATAAAATGTTCATTTGCTAATTCTTAATAACGGCTTAGGTTATATTTAAATTTAGTAAAAAAGCCAATTCTTAGATATTTTTTTCTAGACTAAACATTTATTCTAATTTTTCTTTGTACGTAAATTTTCCCAATCCTCTCATTAAATTAGTTTTCTACGTTAAGCTCTCTCCCAATCTCCTATTGACATTTTAAAATGTGAAGCCCAAAACAGAACCACATATAATAATCACATATTCTATATAAATGCTTACTAGCCATTTACTGTATACAGGGGCAATACAAGGATCATGAATTTTTTTATCTCCCTGCAAGGTATACATTTCTAACCCTTTAATTATTCTTAGTGACATCTATGTTGATCAGAATTGACCCTGTCATTTATCATTACTGATTACCTTAGAATTTTATAAGCTATTAGGAATTGTGCCCGCAATAGATTGACAGCATGGTAGCTGGAAGGTTGTACATAGTCACTAACTTAAAATGTCTTATTATACTAGGTTGAAGCAAGAACAATAATTGGTTGTGGGTTTAGAGACCAATGGGAATAGAATTAAAGTAGCAACTAAAACGTGAGAACGGAATAGCTTAATAGAATATCTGAGCTTTTAAAATAGTGTATGCAGGTGTATCCTGAAGGCTTAACTACATAGCCAGTTTTAACTTCATGTTACAAAGTGATTTTACCACTTAATATGGAGTTAGAGGACTCAACAATATAAGACTACATACTCCTAGATTGTAAGCTTTAACGAGCAGGGCCCTCTGTTTCCTCTTGTGCCAAATTGTATTGTAACTGTAATGTCTATCTTCATTTTGTAAAGTGCTGTGCAAACTGTTGGCGCTATATAAATCCTGTATAATAATAACAACAAAAATACTGTAATAGTGACTCTTCTTTGATACAAATGTAAGCTTAAGGATATGTGAACATAAGCAAAAGAGGAATTAACAAAACAATGTAAAAAGTATCTATCTTCTAATTCAATAAACTTTTCTAAGACCAAGAAGACTAGTGGGGCCCCAATACAGCACAGGAACTAGTAACACTGTAATACTAAGTAATACATACCATTAAACATTATAATTGCCAAAGTGCTGAAATAATATATAGGTGTTTGAAAACATTTTTGTCCACAAGTATTGATCCTCACATCCACACTGTGTAAGTGTTTCAAGATATTCCTATGTACGATCAGACAAATATTAACATCAGGTAAAAGCCAAATGTGATTAACAGAGATGCATCTGTGGACTCTCTTACAGGTATATGCCCCAAGTAGAACATTTAGCTGCAGCTACGTTTTCACTTTATATCATCATGCAGCAACTACTGAACAAGTAAATAAATATATACACTCTCTCAGTAACATGATGTATTAAAGCATCACACACATATAAACAGTGCTAATTTCTATGAACAAAGAACAAATATTTATTTTTTAGGTTGATTCAGACCATGAAACCAAAATAGGTTGCTGCAACTTCCTGGGTCAGGGCCTCTCAGTGAACATGTCCTAAACATAGCATTTTGCTTATCACAGAAAACATATTTGACAAATTGTCATGACCACAAAGCTGTTTAATGGCATAAAATAGTATTAAAAAGTGGAAAATATTGTTGCAACATACCATTTTTGTTTAGACATGTATACGCTGGAGAGTCCACAATTGCATCTATGTTATTTACCTTTGGCAATTACCTGATATTAATGCTTGTCTGACTGGCTGTAGAAATGTCTAGAATGGAGTACCAATGACTGAGGTGACTGGAACTGAGGCTCAAACTTTTTGACACATACACTATATTGCCAAAAGTATTGGGACATCCCTCCAAATCATTGGATTCAGGTGTTCCAATCACCTCCATGGCCACAGGTATATAAAATCATGTACCTAGGCATGCAGACTTCTTCTACAAACATTTGTGAAAGAATGGGTCACTATCAGGAGCTCAGTGAATTCACGCATGATACTGTGATAGGTTGCCACCTGTGCAATAAGTCCATCCTTGAAATTTTCTTGCTACTAAATATTCCACAGACAACTGTTAGTCTTATTATAACAAAGTGGAAGCAACTGGGAACAACAGAAACTCAGCCATGAAGTAGTAGGCCACATAAAATGACAGAGCGGGGTCAGCTCATGCTGAAGCGCAGAGTGCGCAGAAGTTGTCAACTGTCTGCAGAGTCAATAGCTAAAGACCTCCAAACTTTATGTGACTTTCAGATTAGCACAAAACAGTGTGTAGAGAGCTTTATGGAATGGGTTTCCATGGCCGAGCAGCTGCATCCAAGCCTTACATCATCAAGTGCAATGCAAAGCGTCAGATGTAGTGGTGTAAATCACGCTGCCACTGGACTCTAGAGCAGTGGAGATGTGTTCTCTTGAGTGAAGAATCATGCTTCTCTGTCTGGCAATCCGATGGATGTGTCTGGGTTTGGCAGTTGCCAGGAGAATGGTGCTTGCCATGCTTACATTGTGCCAAGTGTAAAGTTTGGTGGAGGGGGGATTATGGAGTGGGGTTGTTTTTCAGGAGTTGGGCTTGACCTCTTAGTTCCAGTGAAGGGAACTCTTAAGGCATCAGCATAATAAGACAATTGGGACAATTTCATGCTCCCAACTTTGTGGGAACAGCTTGGGGATGGCCCCTTGCTTTTCCAACATGACTGTGCACCTGTGCATAAAGCAAAGTCCCTAAAGACATTGATGAGTGGGTTTGGGTGGAGGAACTTGACTGGCCTGCACAGAGTCCTAACCTTAACTTCAAAGAAAACCTTTGGGATGAATTAGAACGGACACTGCGAGCCAGGCCTTCTTGTCCGACATCAGTGCCTGACCTCTCAAATGCGCTTCTTAAGAACGGTCAAATATTCCCATAGACACACTCCTAAACCTTGTGGACGGCCTTTCCAGAAGAGCTGAAGCTGCTATAGCTGCAAAGGGTGGACCAACTGAATATTGAACCCTTTGGACAAAGAATGGGATGCCATTAAAATGTATGTGTGTGTAAAGGCAGACGTCACAATACTTTTTGCAATATAGTGTATATACTAATATTAAAACTCTTTAGCAATTATGATGTTTAATATTATTTAATACTTTAGAGCATTACATTGCTAATAAAAGTTTTTTTAATCAAATGTAATATAAAGTTTATATTATAGAAAGTATATACGTTATACATTATGGATTCATGCTTTGATTATCTCCTGATTTAGCTACTTCTTGGCAAGTAACACCTTTGCAGCACATTTGTTTCTGTGTGCAGCAATCAATTGTTTATCAATAACTAATTAAAGTGTATCTACTGTATAGGCAAAATCTTTCCTTTAGTTTTGGATAGAGTAGGACATTGTTTTTTTGTTGTTTTTTTTTGTTCTCTGACACAATAGAAAGATTTCCCATTATTTCCTGTTTTGGAAACACAGTAGGAAGTGATTGGTAGTCTCTTCCACGTAAAGCCAAGGGACCTATTAGACAGTTGTAACCAGACCATAGGTCTTCAGTGGAAACCTACTGCTCTTGTTACACAAGTAAAAATATGCATTTCCTATTTCTATATGTTCCAGTAACTGCCAGGACAAAATGCATCTCCTCAGTGAGGACACTAATCTAAACCTTTTGAAGAACAAGCCAGCCTTTAACCAATGAACGTTGAGATTTTAATAAGGTCATGTTGCAAGAACAGTGTGCAAATATGCAGAGTAAACCATAATACACTAACATTTCAGGGTTATGGTGGACCCCTTTCCTGAGGTGACACTTGTCTGTATGGGTTCAATTCAGAGCTGGTTTGCTGAACATTACGCAATCATGAGTGCTGAATCTCAATCTCATTGAAGTCAAAAGGAGTTGAATATTTAAAAATTGCCATTTTCTAGGCTAAGAGGCAAGGGGTTGTGAAAAAAATGGAATGAGGGGACTGAGCACTGCCCTGGGGAACATTCACCAAAGCAAAAAAATATTTTCTAAAATTCTGTTTGGTTGGGAGCAGCGATTATAATCTCACTACCTGCCCCCTGGATTCTGTCCCCTCACAACTACTACGTCACCCTCTTCTTCCATCCTATGCTCCCTCACTCACATCTTCAATCTTTCCCTCTCTATTGGTGCCTTCCCCTCCTCTCTAAAGCATGTGCACATCACTCCCATACTTAAAATGCCCTCCCTGGACCCCACCAAGCTGAACAACTTAAGACCCATCTCCCTGCTGTCATTTACCTCTAAACTCCTAGAACACTTAGTCTACAATAGCCTGAGCTCCCACCTCATCGACAACAACCTTCTTGACCCTTTACAGTCTGGCTTTCGCTCACTCCACTCCACTGAAACTGCCCTACTAAAACTCACTAATGATCTACTAACTGCTAAAACCAATGGCCACTACTCCGTACTCTTACTACTTGACCTCTCTGCGGCTTTTGATACGGTTGACCATCAACTCCTCCTCAAACATCTCCACTCTCTTGGCCTCAGAGACTCTGCTCTCTCCTGGTTCTCCAACTACCTATCGCAGTGCTCCTTCAGTGTTACCTATAACGCTGCCTCCTCCTCTTCACTCCCTCTTTCTGTAGGGGTCCCTCAAGGTTCTGTCCTTGGACCCCTTCTCTTCTCCATCTACACCTCCTCCCTTGGTCACTTGATAAACTCCCATGGCTTTAAGTACTATCTCTATGCTGATGACACACAAATCAGTCTCCACTCGCATTACTAACCTACTAAGTGGCATATCGGCATGGATGTCTCTCCACTTCCTCAAACTCAGTCTTTCCAAAACTGAGGTCTTAGTATTCCCTCCCTATTCCCTATTGCCCCATGCCCCCTTCCCTGACTTCTCCATCAAGATCAATAACACAATCATCAGTCCCTCCCCCCATGCCAGGGTACTAGGTGTAATCCTAGACTCCTATCTGTCCTTTCAGCCCCAAATCCAATCACTGTCCATATCTTGTAGACTTCACCTCCGCAACATCTCCAAGATACGCCCATTCCTAACCTCGGAAACCACTAAGCAACTTATTCACTCCCTTGTTATCTCTCGCCTTGACTATTGTAACTCCTTCCTCATTGGCCTACCTCATCGCAGGCTATCCCCTCTTCAGTCTATCATGAATGCTGCTGCCAGACTTATCCACCTTACTAACCATTCTGTATCTGCCACCCCTCTCTGCCAATCCCTCCACTGGCTTCCCATTGCCCAACGGATAAAATTCAAAACACTAACAATAACGTATAAAGCCATTTATAACTCTGCCCAAAATTACATCACCGATCTTGTCTCTAAATATCACCCAAACCGTACTCTCCGCTCCTCGCAAGACCTCCTACTACTCTAGCTCCCTTGTCTCCTCCTCCGATGCTCGTCTCCAAGACTTCTCCAGAGCTTCCCCCATCCTCTGGCACTCTCTACCCCAATTTATCAGACTATTGCCTACTCTGCTCACTTTTAGGTGATCTCTGAAAATCTGTCTATTCAGGGAAGCCTATCCTGCCCTCAGCTAATACTGGAATCTTCTACTCTTCCAACCAGTCCATCCCCCACAGTTACTACCTTTTGTACCACTAGCCCCTCCCTCCTAGATTGTAAGCTCCAAGGAGCAGGGCCCTCAAATCCCTCTTGTATTGAACTGTATTGTTGCTGTATTGTCTCCTGTTATATTTTAAAGCGCTGAGCAAACTGTTGGCGCTATATAAATCCTGTATAATAATAACAATAATAATAGTAATGCTTAAAGGGCAACATTAAAAATTTAAAATTCCTTTAAATAACATGCCTGGGGATACCCAGCACATGTGAAGTGGCACATCTGTATGATGTAAACAACCTACTACGGAAAAACTGATAGTTACAAAGAAAAAAAATCAGTTTGATTTAAAATGACAGCTCCAGGTCTCTTACTTCTGTTTGTAAACAAAGAGGCTGGGGATTCCCAGATTATGGTGTGGTATGGATGGTAATTGGGTACCCCACACACAATAAAAAAATTGGCATGTTCCCCCTAAATCCAATCAAAAGGCCAAAAAAGTGTGGGATCCCCTACATTTCTTCACCAGACCCTTATCTGAGCAACATGTACCTTATTAATCCACATGCCCTCAACATGGTACCTTGGTAGAGTGGATCCCCCTACCAAAGTACCTTGTCCACATGTTGATGAAGACAAGGCCCTCTTCACCACAACCTTCACCCAATGGTTGTGGAGGGTTCGGGGGGTGGGGGGGGGGGGGGGGGGTGCAGGGTCTGTCATCCAGAATGTAAAAAAAGGGGTGGAGTATGAATTCTAATGTGTGCAATATTCCACACTGCTCAAAAAAGTAAAGGTACACTTTTTAATCAGAGTATAGTATCCTGACCTACAAAGCCGTTCATAACACTGCCCCTGACTACCTCACCAACCTGATCCCCAAGCACCACCCTACCCGTACCCTTCGCTTCTCACAGGACCTCCTTCTATCCTGCTCCCTGGTCTCCTCCTCCCATGCACAACTGCAGGACTTCTCCAGGTCCTCCCCTATCCTCTGGAACTCACTGCCCCAATCCATCCGACTGTCGCCTTCCCTCCCCACATTCAGGTGCTCCCTCAAAACCCATCTCTTCAGGGAAGCCTACCCCACCCTCACCTAACGGCCATTCTCCCTCATTCCTCCCACCACTTCATTCCCCTCAGCCACTTCCTATTGTTCCACTACCCCCTCCCTCCTAGACTGTAAGCTTGAAAGAGTAGGGCCCTCTTACCCCTCGTATGCTGTCTGTTTTTTTGTTGTACTGTGCCATGTATTGTCCCCCCTATTGTACAGCACTGAGCAAACCCTTTGGCGCTATATAAACTCGATGTAATAATAATAATAATAAGTCAATTAAACTCCTGGGATGTTGATCTGGTCAGTTAAGTGAGGGTTACATAGTCAGCCTGGCTCAAAAAGGACAAAAGTCCATTGTTGTTTTTCAGTTTCAGATGCTTTGGTGTTAATGAAATTAACAACAGGTGCACTAGCTGGGTAACAATGAGATGACCCCCAAAACAGGAATAGTTTTACAGGTGGAGGCCACTGACATTTTTTTCCCTACTCATCTTTTTTGACTGTTGTTCACTATTTTTGCATTTGCCTAGGGTCAGTGTCACTACTGGCAACATGAGGCGATACCTGGACTCTACAGAAGTTGCACAGGCAGTCCAACTCTTCCAGGATGGCACATCAATACGTGTCATTGCCAGAAGGTTTTCTGTGTCTCCCAGCACAGTTTAAAGAGCATGGAGAAGATTCCAGGAGACAAGCAGTTACTCTAGGAGAGCTGGACAGGGCCATAGGAGGTCCTTAACCCATCAGCAGGACCGGTATCTGCTCCTTTGTGCGAGAAGGAA